GTAATTATATTGGAGATACTGGAGCAGCAGCTTTAGCAAAGGCTCTAGAATCAAATTCTTCTTTGAATTCTTTAAGTCTACATAGTAATTATATTGGAGAGACAGAAGCATCAACTTTGGCAAAGGCTCTAGAATCAAATTTTTCCCTGACTTCTTTGGATCTTCAGTGGAATAAGATTGGAAAAACAGGAGCAGCAGCTTTGGCAAAGGCTCTAGAATCAAATTCTTCTTTGACTTCTTTAGATCTTAATTATAATCAGATTAGAGAAACAGGAGCATCAGCTTTGGCAAAGGCTCTAGAATCAAATTCTTCTCTGAATTCTTTAAGTCTACATCGTAATTTTATTGGAGATACAGGAGCAGCAGCTTTGGCAAAGGCTCTAGAATCAAATTCTTCTCTGACTTCTCTGGATCTTCATTGGAATAAGATTGGAAAAACAGGAGCATCAGCTTTGGCAAAGGCTCTAGAATCAAATTCTTCTCTGAATTCTTTAAGTCTATGTAGTAATTTTATTGGAGATACAGGAGCAGCAGCTTTGGCAAAGGCTCTAGAATCAAACTCTTCTCTGACTTCTTTGAATCTAGTTAAAAATCATATTGGAGATACAGGAGCAGCAGCTTTGGCAAAGGCTCTAAAGTCAAATTCTTTTCTGACTTCTTTGAATCTAGATAACAATCATATTGGAGAAACAGGAGCAGCAGCTTTGGCAAAGGCTCTATATTCTTCTCTGACTTCTTTGAATCTAGATAACAATAATATTGGAGAAATAGGGGCAGCAGCTTTGGCAAAGGCTCTAGAATCAAATTCTTCTCTGGTTTCTTTGGATCTTATTGATAATCAGATTGGAGATACTGGTGCAGCAGCTTTGTCAAAGGCTCTAGAATCAAATTCTTCTCTGACTTCTTTGAATCTTATTGCTAATCAGATTGGAGAGACAGGAGCAGCGACTTTGGCAAAGGCTCTAGGATCAAATTCTTCTCTAACTTCTTTGGATCTTACTTGTAATTTGATTGGAGATACTGGTGCAGCAGCTTTGGCAAAGGCCCTAGAATCAAATTCTTCTCTGACTTCTTTGGATCTTACTAGTAATTTGATTGGAGATACTGGAGCAGCAGCTTTGGCAAAGGCTCTAGAATCAAATTCTTTTTTGAATTCTTTGAATCTACTTAACAATCAGATTGGGGAGACAGGAGCAGCAGCTTTAGCAAGGGCTCTAGAATCAAATTCTTTTCTGAATTCTTTGAATCTACTTAACAATCAGATTGGAGAGACAGGAGCAGCAGCTTTGGCAAAGGCTCTAGCATCAAATCTCTGCCTTTCTAATTAGTTATTATAATAAAATTAGATAAGTAAATGCCCCTGTTAAGATTTATCTGATTAAATGTAGTTATAATAATTAATAATAGCATGTTTTTTAATTTTATTACTAAAATTATTGTTAAATTTGGATATGAAAAATATGGCAGTATTCAAATTATTACTACAATAGATGTTAAAAATATGCCTGTTGCAATTGTGTTGTCCTAGTTATACGAAAAATGAAAATGCATCTGCAAGAGTATTTGTCAATTTTATTAGAACAACTAAGAGTAATTTTTAGCCAAAGAGGTATTAATTATGAAATTTTGACGCGTTTAATTAAGGATTCCTTATACTCATTCTCAGCGGCTCCTAGTGAACGAGTCTAATCAAAATCGTAGACGATAATTTTTAATCAATTTACCGCCAATCTATATTATAAATTATTATTTGCTCAACGGACTACAATCTCTCTCTCTTTCTATGTTCTCAGTTTCTATAAGTTTATTCTCTTTCCAATACATTTCAGGCAAAGTATCTTATAACTATTTCCACTCCAAAGATGGAATTACAAACCAAATTTTGTGTTATGATTAACTAGGGCAACAATTTGATTGCCATTTTTGTGACAGAGCGCAATTTTACACTAACATTTTGGATGCATATTTTTAAATAACAAAACTTCAGTCAAACAAAACCCCATGATCAACTTAATTTGTAGCGCTCTCCGATCCTCGATCGTTGTGTCCATAGCTAACTTAGAATTTAATTCATTTTTCATGTATCATACGATATTTTGTTATTTTCAGAGACGCTCCCTATTTTCCGTGTCGCTGAAGATATATAGGCGACTTAAATCCCATCATCAGTTGTTTAGTCTTGTTGCCAATATCCACGGAACAATATCAAATAAACGATTCTTGTTTAATTAGTTAGTTTAAGTGACGATACCCAACTAGTCAAAATACCAAATCGAAGTTAGCCCTGTTTAATTTATAAAATAGAAACATTCCCCTTCGATTTCGCGATATAATCATTGTAGTTGCGATTATCCATCGTAGGCACCTTTATTTGGAGTACGAGTAAGGAATATCGTATAGAGAGTAGGATAAGCGCGCACATTAATTATTAAATTAGGTCACTTGTAGATTATTCAGTCTTAATTGTACAATCACCGTAGTAGTAGTAAGGACGATGACACCTAAATCTGGTAACATCCCTGAACACCCCTACGCGAAAGATAATCTCCACCCAGGACCATCTGACCGTAACCAATAGTTACCAGCTGTTGTCAACAAAAAAACTAATACATGTATATCTAATATATGCAGTTACTGTAAGCATTATATTATACGTTCGGAGAAAGAGGGAGGAAAATGAGTGTAATTCCAATATACTTTTTTAGTACAACTCTGCGTAATTAAGCTGATAACACTACACTATTAACATAGAAGTTCAGCTAAATCCACACGTGAGTGTCTATAAGTTGACGTTCTGTAAGATGTAGCTTACTGAAGTTTACCTAAATATGTTTGAGTATGCACTACTGGTTGCATTTTGTCTTGCTTATTCATGTGTTTAAACTTTTCGTTGTTTGAACACAATGTTTTTGCTCGCCGCTGCATGCTCCGAGTTTTTCTACGTATTGCATATGTTTGGTTTGATTTGACTTATTTGATATTGTTATGGCTTGCACGTCAGTTAGGGTCTGTGGAGAGCGTTATTCACAAACCGGGGAACTTAGCTCGTAACATTATCCTTACCTTTTTTACTGGGTTATGACGACTGCTTTCCCATGCCATTAATGCTTGTTGCTTAAAATCACGCATTTAACAATTCAGCCGTTTATTTTTTTTGGAGCGGTGAGTCTGAATTATGCATTCATATAAATATCTGCTCAATATTAATCGTTCGCCACAATATCCCCTTTCACCTTAACTTGCGGAATGCATCATGTTTTAACAATTCAATGTGCTATCGTTTCGAGACCTGCAATAAAATCACGATAGACCGATTTGTAACTTGTTTCGGCTGGCAGAGTATAAGCGATTGAGTAATTCGATTGACGTTTTCAGCATAGTTTTATTTTGGTTTTCATCACGATATTCGTTTATGTTACCGTGAATACGCAACACAATAGATACCATTCGTTGCCAGAGTGTGATTCTGACGTTTTTCAAATGAGTGCGGCCAATTCCGGATACGTTTTCTGACAAAGAGGCGTATTGCGATCTCAATAATAAAAAGTTCTCTTATTAGTACGCGCCTTTTTTTTTTAAGACGTCAACTGGGCAATTGTTTATCCACCGTTCATTGCTTTTAGGATCATTACAAATATATCTTGTTTGGATCTAGAGAGGGTTTGAAATGCTTCATGTAAAATTTTCTCTTGGAATCTTTTTGAGCAACCACAATTACAACTGACCTCCAAGAAACATATTGCTTTTTCATATTCAACCAATTGCTACTTCTTATGCACATATATGTGTATATAACACTTATATTAATAAAGTAAATAAATTTTATTCTTTTTTCTTTTCATTTAACTTCTTTATATGCCTCTAACTCTCTATAACCCCTTGTTTAATGTCATATATACAAATCTGTTCACATCACTAGCTCTGTTTTGTTTTAAATGAACACACATGTTTTGCTACTCAACAGAAAATCTCATTACATACTATGGTTCCTATATGGAAGTTACAACTCTTATTCCTTCAAGAAAGTCCATGTTTATGTTGCAGTCAAGATCTTCTTTGTACTCATGACATTATATTGCTTGTAAGATGGGTTGTTGCATTATCTGTTCCACCTATGGCAAGGGAGATTCTTGTAAGCTTTTCAAAGCCTTCTCAATATCATGTATTTGACTGGTGATGTAGGAATTTACTTAACCCCTGCTTTATATCTTCCAATGTCCATGTACAATGTGATATAAGAGGGATATTTTGAGACTTTCTTCTGTGTGTGCTGTAAAGAACAAACAATCTCTAAGCATGCATATACAGTAGGATACAGGAAGATTTTGAATTGTATTTGATTTCAAGCATCTTCGAATTTATGAGTAGCCCGCGCCAGATGAAATCTATTAAATAATTCACGAATCCTGAATCAATAAGTCCGTTGCAGAAGCTCTGTCTCTTGCAGATCCAGAAGATGTAGGTAAAATAGGCACCACTAAGTCGACAGATCGCTGGTTATGTTTGGGAATAATTGCACCAAAACTCTGAATGAAACCATGCTGGCACAAACTAGAGGTTCGTGTCTTCTAGATTTATTATTAATATTTACCGTTGTTAAGGAAAAGCCTTTGCTAGAACGATAGACTGCCGTGTATAATATGTAATATTTCACGATTCGTGTCCTCAAATTCCAATGAACTGCATTTGAACCCTTGCAAAGGACAGAATTGGTTGCCCATTACAGGCACTGCTGTAAAATGACTCATCGAAATCCATCCACCAGCAGGTATGGGCATTTTTGATTTGTCACCAAACATTTCATTCCAAGTTTTCTTCCCCCATCATGGAAATGAAATGTCGCGAGAACTGTCACTGGATAACAATACCTACCCTCGATTGGGTGGGAAGGCTTATTGTTAATATGCAGCACATCCTTTGCCAATATTTCTCTTGCTTTCTTTAAGGTTGCGTCTTTGTGGTCTTCTTTGTACTTAAACACAAATTCTAATTCTTCTCAGTCAATTGAGTCTACTTCCATTGGGTGCAGCAACTGGGACAAGTTGAATTGAATTTGCTGGCTGCAAAGCACTTCCAACAATTTGCGGTATCTTTTGTCCGGTCATGGCTTCAATCGCAAAGGGAATTCAAGGAGCGATTTGCATTAGGGAAGGAGGAAAGGTCCATTTAGTCAAGTTAGAGAAGAAAAGAACGTGTGCGCGTTTATGTCTTGTTTACGTTCTCACGTATCACGAGAAATATCACGTTATGAAACAATCGAGCATCAAATCAGATTCATTTTTTTGGAAAGTATTGTAATGTACATATTAATATGCTGTGTATTGTATGTGACTGTCTAAGACCTAAAAATAGTCATGACTGCATGACGTCACGACTAGTCAAGTAACATTTCTGATGAATATGAATGAAATTGTTCATAGTTTTTGACATTATTGTTATACCAGCGATTGAAAAATGCTATTAATACATTTGACAAAAAATTCGACGACTTCTTTAGTGTCTTTTTCATTGGATTTCACAACTAGATTAGCTTTAGACACCTCAAGGTCGAGTTTAATTTCACAAAGCATCAGAGTTGTTGTCAGCACCTAAAGGATTTATGATCAATTTTAATTAGGTTTATAGACATACGCGTTTAACGTCGTCAACACCTTACCTCAGTGGCATATGCAAACAACCGGGGTACATTGTTTGAGACTCCAGAAGCTATAGTGAATATAAAATATTGTTCAAAAGTCTTTTCTAGCGTTTCCAGGTTTATCGATGATACTAGTGCTTTTGGGATTGGAAGACTAAGTGAATGACTACAAATGTAAAGCAAAAATGTTAGTATAGTCGGCGAGGATAGCATCTTAGAAGGGGGGAAAAATACCTTTCTTTGAACGTTGTCCATGATGCTTTAAATTCTTTTGCATTTATAAAAGTAGTTGCTGATAATGCATATTCGCTAGCGAGATCCACTCGAGTCTGTATGTATTCAGTGTTCATCAGCAAACAATAATAATTAAACTGAACAATTTTTTAAAAAACAACCTTATCCTTGTCAGACATGAAGTCAGCAGGGGGCATAAAAAAGATAAAGTCCTTGTTATTTTGCGGAATTTGGTCCTTATCAATAAAGTATGTTGATCTCTTGCCATACAGTACGGAGAGCGTATTAAACTCTGTAAAGAGGGCTTCCTAATAATGTCAATGGAACGATCCCAACTGATTACTGAATGATAACTGTAAAATGCAGCAAATGCTAATATTGTTATTACTTTATTCTCGTCAGACTCTTTTATTACTCCTGGAAGATGCTCTCCATCATCACCCAATAGGATCTTTTTTACCTATGGAAAAAAAGTTACATATTAGTTACAAGTTTGCATACACTACAAATTTATTCACACCACTTACCGTCTCTATATCACTTTCTAACAAACTATACAAGAACGTAGCCCTCTCCTGAACATTTATATATTCTTCATCTCTCATAGTCTCTTTAAACAGTCTTCCAAGTATACTTTGACACTCTGCGGGGCGTTCGAGAAACACAGCGACGGTAGTATCAAGTAATTGAATACGGAAAGATGGGTTCGGATATTGATCCAACGTGTCAATCAAAGATTCTAATATGTACGGTGTTTCCGGGAGGGTTCTCGCATTCTTGGCAAGGAGATGAAGAAAAGCAGGACCCGCGGGAGTTGAGAGCGAAATGGAAGGCCAGACTTGTGGAATCAGAAGGAGAAGCTTAGCAGTAATAGTACTGTTACTTTGAAGAATCGCTTAAGAGAGAGTTCAAGGATAGACGTCAGCACGAGAACAAATGTGTATTAAGTCCAAAAAAATCAACGTTTTCCGACATAATTTATTTCCTTACTTGTTAATACAGTCACGGTTCCTGAGACAAACTCCTCTATTTCCGTTTCCATTATTTTAAGTAATAATTCTATTGCATAATCCATCACGTCATGTACTTTCACGGCAATGTTGGCAATTGTTTCAATCGACTTTAGCGTAATCTCTTCATCAGCACCAGTAATATACCCACTACGATAGACTCCAATAATTGAATCACGATTGATTGATCTACGATACCAAGAAAACAAAACCAATTCGAGAAAAAAGTGTTTGCGCACAGAATACAAACCTGATTTCATCAATGATCTCTTTTGCAGATTGAGTATCCGCAATAGCCTCTAAAAGTTTTAGCTTTTTTAATGTCAAATACGGTGGATCCTTGAGACTACAAAGAAAAGAGATGAATGTGTCAGTAGTGTTGCATTGCGTAGACAGTAGTCTTTTCTCTTAAAATTACTGTCTTACCGACGGTAGAAATGTTTGCTGTAAGCGTTTAATATTTTCGGCGCACGTACAGCGAGCAGTTGCAGATGTGCGAGACACGCGTAGGCCAACTCTGGATTTCCTGTTGAGAGAAACGATACCAGCGGGTCTAAAAGAAATCCAAGGAATAAATAACCGAGTCGTGAATAATCGCGTCCAACATGCCCCCACTGAAGTAACATTACATTACCTCTTATTCTTTTATATATATCTTCTTGTATCTCTGGCATATCCCCTGTCCAATGTAGAAATAACTTTACGGTAGAAAGCTGAACTCCGCAGTTATGATGTCGTAAACGATCGTCTAGAGTATTCTAATGTAAACGTTAATATACTCGATTGGGGAGGTGTGTCCATGTACCGCTTTGCGATTATTATCTCTGAGAAATACTAACCAGGATCTCAAATAATTCGTCATCCGAATCTGGCTTATATCTTGTAAGCGCATCAAGTACCAAACACTGATGCCATTCACTAAAGTCAATTAATCTATGAAGCAAGCTGCGTGCTATACCCTTGTTGATAACCATTCCTCCCTGAGAGCTTAAAATCTCGTTTAATGCAGAGATACAATTGGCAACCACTTCGGTGTCTTCATCGCTTAATAATTTATAGAGAGACTCGATGAGATCACCGTCTACATAAGGTTATAACAGCAAAGCGTACAGGTAATTGTGTTTAGTGAACAAATGGTGCTCGCTAAATCTTTTCTTTTTGCATACCTGCGACATGCTCTGGAGCAATATGGTATAATTTCACGCATGAAAGTACGGCTATCTTTCGCACATATGCACTTGGATCAGTTAGTCCTTTTGTCAACGGTGGAATCATAAATTCCACATAGTTCGAGAGCCTAAAGATACACGGGAACATAGTAAATACAATGATAACTGCGCATATTGAAAAAGACAAACAAACATGCTACCTCATCGAACATATGGTCCGAAGCGCTAATCCACGTACAACAGCATTATCATCTCTGAGATCTTTCTGGAAAGTATTAATTGCCAAGATGGCCAATTCTGCATTCTGAGAGGCTTGAGTTGAAATGTACATGTATACCAATTTCTTTTGAACAAGATCCTTTGTTGATGCGGCCTTTATCAAGTGATTAAATCTTGTGAGCCAGCTAAAAAACAAGTCCATTCTTTGAGATCAATCCTAGTCCTTTGCTTACCATCAACATATCACTAAACAATGTTGACACGTCTAATCCAGAAGCCATGGCTTCGAGAACCTCATTGACAATAGACCGTTTGGCAGAAACGTAAAACCCTCGATAATTCATCGTAGCTTGCTCACTAGTTTCTCTCAAAGTGAGAGCCAACCGAGCTACTTCTCGATTTGGTTGATTCTCAAGGAATGATGTCCGTTCGGCTACCATAGCTATGTGTGCGAAAAGCAGATCAAGTGAAGGTCCATCGATGAAACCGTATTTGTGTATCGTAACACGTGGTAACACAGTTCCATAAGCTTTATTTTATTCATTATTAATATAACGATAAATATCAAAGGAATTCTATACCGTAATTAGATTAGTCGTTTAAACATCTATTAAATGGTTCTCGAAATCAGATTAACGCTCACGAGTTTTCTCCCCTACTACTACTGCTATTACTACTACTTTCCCCAGTATTATTTACAAATTGAACGTTGTATGATCCGGTTTCATCATTCTTAACAAACTGGAAATTGTCAGTTGATAAACCGAAATTTCCAAGGATTGTATTGCCAAGATCCTTGAGTTTTCCTAACATTTCGGCCTTTTCTTTCTCCTGCGCTTCGGCTACTCGATATTCCAGTGATCTAACCGAACGAGACACGGTTTTCCGTGATTGTGGTATGAGGTTGTTCTGATGCTCTTGGTCGGACTCGAGCGTCTTGTAGTCTTGAATTGCAATTGAGGAGGGGTTCAAGGTTTTAACTGAATATCAGGAATCCAAAGATTGTCTCGGGCCAATTTAATCACAACATACCTTCTAATGCACTTGATAATGGACTGAACCCGCCAATCTTTTCGTTTGCTTGAGCACGTCGAAGTAGTGCCTTTGTATACGTCGGACAATCTGCCAAGGCTTTTCAACGACAAGCACACAGAGTATATAGAAACCTTTGCATTTGAGTCATAGTTTGACAATTCGCATTCAAAGTATTTATGCTGCCGGCGTTACATACCTTTGGTACAAGCATCAACAACTTCCTTGTATTTGCCCTATTGACAGACTTGTTAGCACAAAAGTCCTATCAACGACACCACAAAGTTCATGTTTTTGCATGTATATTTACTAATTTCATATAACATGCTCCAAGGTTATTCCAATACGTGGCCCTTTCTTTTGTCTTTTCCAAGGGACAGACATCTAATGCCCTTTGATACATGCTTATAGCTTGTTCATATTCTGATCGCCCAAAGAAGTCATTGCCTTTCGTCTTGTATTCATTTGCTTCCGAGCACAATTCTTCAATTTCTTCAGGAGTGAACTTGGGTGTTTCATTCTCTGGCTGTTTATCTATACTTTCTTCTGAGGACATCCTGTGGATAGCGAGAAGTTTCAATCGTTGTACAAAAGTAGATGAAACGTCACCCTTTCAAGTCTGTGCATACCTCGCACATACACATAACAATCTGCGCTGCGCACTTTACGTCATATATCAATGTATTTTTATTCTATTTTTATTAACGTTAATTAATATTAATATCCTTATTTATCTATTACCATCTATATCCATATCAATATTGATTGTCCTTATTATTATTGGGTATTTGTCCCGCATGTCCCACGCTTCTCACTTTGACATAGTAAATACTCCATTGACATTTGAGCTCTAATACGCTCTTCCTCCGCTTGCATCTCCTCCCGGCTGGTTTTCACCATCTTTGGAGTGCGATCAGGGAGAGCCGAAGCAATCCTAGTCCACCTGGGGCCATGGACACGATACATCTGCCGAACCGCATCATTTTCAAGGGCGGTGAACGGTCTGTCATTGACTAGAGATGGAAAGGTACGATTATTGTTATTATTCCGAATAAGCATAATGGTTAATTACGACGTGAAAAGAGAATTGTAGCAATATGTAAATCTGAGAGTTACATACTTCCAGGGCGTAGGACATTCTGCCATCTATATTAATGAAATAACATAGTAATATAATCATGTCAATACGTAGGATACAACAGCGTTACAACGGATATCATGTAAAAACACAGTCACTTCACCTTTTAGCACACTGATGAGCAGACTTGGTACCTAGGATACGGGAGACCATTACCCATTGGAGACCCCGCACGCTGTAGAGATCAATCAAGACAGAGTCTTCCTACATGCCGATAATAAGGAAGTAAGGAATAGTAATAGTAGCATTTAGCATATTCAGGCCATTTTATAACAGACATCTTACCTGAGAACTCCATTTCTCCATCGTGAAATAGACGTATGCTTTGAAAGCGACACTTTGAAAGTGAACAAGGCTAGCAAGCCTCCATTATATACAAGAAGCAACCGTCAAGGTCCGAATTGGGAATAATATTAACTCTTCATGATGGCGTAGTTCGTTGTCTTAAACACTGAACACAAACAGAACATTCTTGACAGAGATGCCGTGTGGTGCACTTTGCCTTGGTAAGCTTCACGTGTAGTTGTACGATCACTAGTGGTTGAAAGCTAACTAACACGGCATTTTTGTGTAGCAATTAGCTGTCAAATATATGCTGCTTTATTAAAACAATGCATCAAAGCCATAATATTATATTAATCGAGACAAGAGCTCATAATAACGAGTTCATGTCTTAATGGCCGATAATCCTAGGTTGCCAGCAAATAAGTAAGGGCTTAACTCTCGTTTTTTTATTAAATGAAATTCCTTGTTTTGGGGGATAGTCAATAAGAGCGAAGGGATCATTGATTCTCAATAATAAGGTCTTCGCTCGTTGTACTGTATTGCTGTTTCTCTGTAGGCTAATAATTATTATTATATTCCGTCTGAACTGTTCCCTTATATTAGGCATTGAGGTTATTCCGATTATTTAAAAGAATAATGAAAAGTGAGATGAATTTCTATCGCGTTTGATGCGAATAAAAATTAAGCAAATGAAAAGTAATTTTGGTTACGATCTTTATTGTACAAAAAAAATTTTGTTCATTCTCGTGATCAGAATTAATGCTTTTGTCACAAATTTAAATTTTGAACCCTATATATTACAGTTTGGAAAATGACTACAGCCGACAAAATCCATTCGCGGTTTGGTCAATGCTTATTTTCTATTTTGGCGAAGGGGGTAATTCAGTAATTTGAATTTGTTGATCAATATTCACTATTAGAGGATTAATGTGCGTACCTGCGAAGCAGTGATGAAAATTTTCAAAACAAGATAATGAATAGCCACACAAGCGAAATTAGCTGACAATATGTATACCTAAAGAATGGGTATATTTTTCCCTAAAGAGCTTTATTTTGAAAGATGCTTGTTCGTTTTTTCTGAACATATGCATTATTCGTACTACTTTCTTTGTGAGCAATATAATGTAATAAATAAACATTACCCATTGTTCCCGACAGCGTGACTATAGAGGTACGACTGTATCTATAAATAAGGTCAACCCCAAAATTTAAATTAAGAGAACACGGTATGTTAATGTGGGATGTGTGTCGTGTAACCATGTGATGGTCCCTTTTTGATCCTGATTTATTCTTATCACATGATTTTTGTGTATCAAAAGGTTTTTGATCTAAAAAGCTATCTAACCATCTGCGAGTAATTTGACCTACATTATTTATTATTTAACAATGACAAAGAAGAATCAACCTGCCGTAATAAATTGGGCGATTGTGAATATTGTAGTGGTGAAACAGGGCAGCTACACATTATCCGAATCCGTTTGTTTACACGGCAGCAAATATTAAACAATCACAGTTAAGTGAAGTCAGACCAAAGGCACTCCCTTTATTGAACAGGTTAAGGCAATTTCAACGATCTCCATAAACAGATCTTTTATTTAGGCGCATATGGGTGACCCCTAATTTACTGTGCTGCTACTACCTATCAAGACATACGGTGTACATTCTATATATCTATTTACAAAATGGGTTGACGTCTCTCATGAGAGAGGAAAAGGTTGGTTACTCGAGAAAGCTTGGAGTGATAGATATGTTTTGGACGGCCATCTTCTACGTTTGGTGGCCCTTTTTCGGTAGTGTTCCAGAAGACCAAAGTACGTTTGTTCAATCCTCTGCACTGTTATGGGTGTCTCCGCTTGTCTCGCAGCGAATGTGCAATCAGATTGTCTGATAAGCTATCGCTTTGAAATAGCGGAGTTGTCGTTGGCTCATTTCGTAGCAGACCGTATCCACATAGGACCAGAACGTGTTCAGTGAACAGATGCGTTGCCCCGTGCATTTCACATAGGCCTGTGAACGTACGAAAGTTGAAGTCCCAGCATATTCATGATATAAAAACTATTGATACGTATTAGTGGCTAATAATTGTTTCACACGACTCGGCCTTTCTCACACTTTCCTCCACACGATAAGCAAAGCCCCCATTACCATTTGAAGTAACAAACAAACGGACTTTTTGATGTTACAGAATCTGCTACCCCTTAGCACATCCTAATCGTAAATTATAAATTCGCGATAACTGTCAGATATCTACGGAAACTCATCAATGAACATCTTATTGGCCTAAAGTTGGTAATAGGAATATTCCTCCGGAGCTGCTCCATTATTTGCATTGGTTCAAATTTTCGATCTTGCCCATTTATAGGCAATCAATTAATCGATACCACCTGATTAAACAGTTGCATTACCATTATTATGCCCTTAACAAATAAAGTACAAGTACGATATGACTAATGGTTGTTTTAGCTAAAGGAGGATATTGCATTGCTATTTCTTTTTTAAACATGGTAGCTTCCGACTCAGGAAACAATGCGGCTTGATAATTGAATCTATAGATCGCATTTTTTTACGAAACTAAGAACTCGCCAAAATGGTTTACCTCAAGATTGTCCTGTTTGGTAAATAATCATGGTACGAATCTTATGTTATGCTGCTTGTGATGATGTACCAATAATTGTCATTGCTTTCTTTGCGGTTCTATGATAATACTGTTTTCATGCTAATTCCTTAATCCTGTGAACGTGCATAGCAATATCACTTGAAAAGAACCATCGGACAGTAGGTTATGTTAACTTGCTTGTTGTTTTACCCTTATGTTAGATGCATGTATACGTAATCGCAATGATGAACCTATTACTATGGGATGTAGTCTATCAAATATTGTTCGTCTCATATTCCCTTGTTGTGTAAGAGTAAATAAACCAGGGGGTCAAAATAATAAATTCAAAACAAATACGTTCGGGCAACACACAGAGATAACGATGATACGATAACTGTTAATAGTATTTGATGGTCATGGTGTAGTACACGGGATTTCCCCGCTGGAGCACAACCCAAATATAACCTATTCCGCTCGCTCCATTAACGTTAACAATGCAACATTTACCAAAACATCAATCAATAATCTGCGCTGAGACATGCATGTCAGTTTGTTTATTTATTTTTTATTGCAGTTGGACTTATCAATCAATAGATGAGAATATTTCGATCTATTACAACATGTATTACAGTATATGATGATTGTACTTATTAGGTATTTGACATGCATCGCATGTCATCTTAACTTTAAACCATATGCATACGGCCTCCTTTGACATAAACGTCAGTTTAGTAGACGAGTTATTGACATTCGCACTCGAATGCGTTCTTCTTCCGCCTGCATCTCCTCCCGGCTAGCTTTTACCATGTTTCGAGTACGATCAGGGAGGCCTGAAGAAATCCTAGCCCATCTGGGGCCATAGACACCGTACAGCCGTCTAACCGTATTATGTTCAAATGTAGTGAACGATCTTTCATTGACTAGAGATAGAAGAGTACGTTTATTATTATTTAAACGTTAACAGCAGTTATGACATGAAAAGAGAGTTGTAAATCTTTAAAGTAGTTACATACTTCCAGGGCGTAGCGCACTATGCCACCTGGATCAACGTTTTAGTGATTTATCGTTCAAAATGATGTCAATATGTAGGATGCAACAAATATTATATAAATGCGGTAGTCAACACACTTACCTTTCAGCACACTGATGAGCTGACTTGATGCCCAACATACGGGATATGGTTACCCATTTGGGGCCGTACACGTCGTAGAGATCAATCAACGCGGTGTCCTCCTACATACAAATAAATTGAATAGGGAATAGTCATAGCAAAATTAGTACATTTGTCATCTTACCTGAAAACTCCACTTTTCCATGGTCGTGAAAAATAGTCTTACTTGAAAGCGAACGGCCAGCTCCTTATATATGCAGAAGCGACAGCACGACTTGGATGCCGGATCAATAAGATTGGTTCTTCATGAGTTACAGTTAATCGGGTTTCCCGAGGTTTTTTTTTTTTTAAAAAAAAAAAAAACACTGCAAACACATCGCACAAACATGCTGGCGGAAGAAAGCGGATAAGAATTATACGACCTGCTAGAATGATTTTAGATTGGCGGGGTTAATGGAACACGACATTCTGTTCTAAGACAAATATGGAACAAATAAAAATTTTTGTGCCTATGCTTACGTTGTAACTATTCTTTACGTCACGTATATTTGAATATATACAACTACTTTTATAATTCACTTTTATAATTTCCACTTTTAAAACATTGATATGAGTGATTTACCCTACTGTCCTGTATGACCAATGTAGGGCTGCATATTGTACCAACTTTATATGGATAATAGTGCATGAAGATCAGCACGTAAATGTGTTAGCCCGTACACATGCCAAGGAACAAGGTTAATCAATAGGAAAGTTACAGGCTGCGGCTTTGAAGAATGCACTATTACAATTAAATTCTGCCTATACATTTGACAGGGGCTCGAAATGATATTATGATTTATTGTAATATTTACAGTCGTACTGTTCATATTTTAATCGTAAAAGTACAGCCTATAATTGAGAAGTTTTAATTGTGCCAATGCCGGTTAATGCTAAGTTAAATAATATAGTATCTTATTGATTACTCACGCAAGTTCAAGTAGCCATGCTGGGTCAATTACTGTCAAATCGCACACAAATGCTTTCGTTATCTCGACAACTGTAAATAGTATGTTTGCATCAGGAAGAAGAATCTTACGTTAAGTCAGTTCTCAGTCACATACCTTCTTAAAAAATAACATCTGGTGCGTTTTTGGTAAACAGTGCGGATGATGGATGAATATGCAATGTCTTGTACGATTCAACGGATTAATGTTTGTAGACTTGACTAACTCTATATGATAACTATTATTTCTTACAGCGTTATCTTGACCCCTATCTGCGTAGCATTGGCAAAGTATATTTCCTCAACATTGAACCTTCCTTCACGCGTTAATATTGTCAACAACTTTATTTAGAGCATTATTTATAATTTACTTGGTAAAAATAAAAGTTTATTATGCGATGAAAATTTCGATAATTTGCAAGCGTCTATTCATTTGCACTGTACAGTAAAATAAGAAAATGTCTCGTTAGCAGATACTTTTCAATGCTGCGCAGATAGCAGTCAGGTTTATCAGAGATAACGCTGTAAGAAATAATAATTATTATTTGGAGTTAGTCAAGTCTACGAACGTTAATCCGTTGAAAATATGAACAGTACGACTGTACATTCATTACAACAAATTGTAATATCATTTCGAGCTCCTGTCAAATGTATAGGCAGAATTTAATTGTCTAGTTATTCAAATGATAATAATCGTATCATTCTATCTCTACTTTTGAACATAATACAGTTAGACGGCTGTATGGTGTCCATGGTCCCAGATGGAGTAGGATTTGTTCAAGCTTCTCTGGGCGCACCCCAAAAATGATAAAAACCAGTTGAGAAGAGATGCAAGCGGAAGAAGAATGCATTCTCTCAGTCGCTTTATATGTATGATAAAACTGATCGTTTTGAATGTTATCGAAACGATTTTCAATATCACATATATCGAATATTGTTTCGGAATGTAAACCAGGCATCTGACGTGCATGGTTGAATAAGAAGCAGAATAATAAACAAATATTAAGAAGGCAAGGAGTTGTATGGAATGGTATAAGTATTTACTGTATTTCTGGAAAAAGACGATGGACCGCATGCATGCAATACCACATGCATACTTTATTACGTGAGTAACCCGGTGCCCATTATGGGGTGGGAAAAACTACATTACACACGATACAGATAGGGACCGTACCAAATATCGGAATAAGGTTAATCCTTTTTTCTACTTGCTAATATGAACTACTATCGCGAGGGATTTTTATTCACAACAAGGTGCTCGCTAAAGCCCAGTTTGAGCTGTTTTTATCTATTTACCATACATGCAGAGGAGAGAATAAAGTCCTATATTGGCGTCGATCTGTGTATTAGGGGAAGGGGAAATGTATCTAGACTTGGAGCGGGTAATAATGGAAAGAATATTAGTGGGGGTTATCCAGGTATGCGTAGGTCTAGAGTGCGGAGAAAGAGAAGGCGTCCTAGGAGTTGATCAAGTATGTGGGAGATGGAGGATATGGGGTTGCCCGAAGGCCTTTATATGAACTACTATCGCGAGGGACTTTTATTCACAACAAGGTGCCCAGTTTGAGCTGTTTTATCTATTTGCCGTCGATCTGTGTCATTATTAGGGGAACGTTAATGGTCTTTGACCATACGGAAAACCCCCCGTTCATTGATGGGGGGTTTTCCGTCCGAGCTCTAACCTAAACCGGGGTTACTCCATTATTTGTATCACAAATGTAGATTATGTCAGACTTGTACTGAATTCAAGCATAATTCGCTCGTACATATTGTTATTGATTAGCCATGACTTTACGTTATAGATAAATCGACAATATCTTAGTCAAAAATGCAATTTTTTGTAAATTATTGTTATGTTACCTTGGTTGCTAGAAATTACAGTGACTTTGGATAAGATTGAAGTAATGAAATACATTGCTACGTTGTGTACACGTGAGGATAGTACATTCGGAATTTACATTAATTTGAATAGTTCTAGTTGCAGGAAACAATGCGAATTGTGTCAACCACATGGTATGATAAATGATTGTATGACAGTAACACCACCACATCTCTTGATAATTGAACCTATAGATCGAAATTTCCAGAAAGATAAGAACTCGGCAAAATGGTTTACCTCAAGATTGTCCTGTTTGGTAAATGTTGCGAATCTTATAGGTACATAGCGAATGAAACAAGTCCGAAATTCCAACAAAGGATAAGTGTATGCACTGGAGATTAGATAGTACGCTATTTATCGTAATAGGAAAGGTTACATATTTGTTTATGCAACGGCATGTATGACAGTTGCGCAGATCACGACAATTCACTTTGTTCCGTCAAAACACTGAGACAATGTCAGTTTACTTATTGTTTACTGTCGTCAGTTGGCTTATACAATCAAAAGATGAGTATTTCTATAGTTACACATATATTTGGAATCATAATTATACTTATTAGGTATTTGACATTAATTATATGTCACCTTGACTTTAAAACCATATGCATAGTTGACGTAGAGAATAGACGTCAGTTTAGTAGACGAGTTATTGACATTTGCATTTGAATGCGTTCTTCTTCCGCTTGCATATTTTCCCAACTGGATTTTATCATTTTTGGGGTGCGATCAGGGAAGCTTGAACAAATCCTACTCCATCTGGGGCCATGGACACCGTACAGCCGTCTAACTGTATTATTTTCAAAAGTATTGAACGGTCTTTTATTGACTAGAGATAGAAGGGTTATTATTATTTGAATAGGCGATAACAGTAGTTACAGCTATAGCAACATGTAAATCTAAAGAGTCACATACTTCCAGGGCGTAGTGCACTTTGCCACCTGTATCCAAAATTATGTCAATATGTAGATACAACGAATATTATATAAATGCAGTAGTCAACACGTTTACCTTTCAGCACACTGATGAGCTGACTTGGTTCTCAACATACGGGATATGGTTACCCATTTGGGACCGCACACGTTGTAGAGATCAATCAAAGTAGTGTCCTCCTACATAGGAATAAATTTAGTAGAGAATAGTCATAGCAAAATTAGTACATCTGTCATCTTACCTGAGAGCTCCACTTTTCCATGACTGAAAAATAGTCTTACTTGAAAGCGAACAGCAAGATAATAGCTCATTATATATGCAGAAGTGACGGCACGACTCGGATGCCGGATCAATAAGATTGGTTCTTCATGCCGTTCTGTTAATCGGTTTCATTTTTAAAAACACTGCAAAGATATTATGGAAACATGCTGGCGGAAGGAGACTGGTAATAGTTTGATGCCTGCTGGAATGATATTAGATTGAGGGGTTAATGAAACACGGCATTCTGTTCTAAGACAAATAAGCAAATTTACACTTGCATTGTACCTATTCTTTACGCCAACGTATACAATTACCGTGCAATGGCTGAACCTTCTAATTTGATGATCAACTTGTATAATCGTACCGATTTGTCTACTAAGTAAAAACAGTAAAAAAAGTAAAGTTAGACAGGAATATAATGTCAGAAGTTATTTTGTTAAAGACTCTTTAGGCTAATGCTAGCATACAGTCACATGTTAAAGAGATAGGTATTAATATTAATGAATCTTGATTTCAATACATCGATCTATTCCTGATTTAGCCGATTTAACTGGCTAGAGATGTAATACAGAAGTCACGCTTCTGCAACAAAACCTCGGCTTCTTGTTGTGAATGGTACGAATCGCTGAACAACGTGTGTCTTTAACAGGGCCTGTGTTTAACATCCCCTTCTCTGAGAGGCGCAAAAAGCTCTTCAGCGTGTACTTTTTAGGTTTCCAAGCAATGTATTAGTATTTAGGAATGATAAGATAGTATCTAATAAGCGTTGTGAAAAAAGTCATGTGGTCGTGTTTGTCACACAGCATGTTTCACTATGCAATGCAATAATGCAATGCATTTGAAGTTTTGCACAAGTTATGAAACTCACCCCCCCCAGCACGTAAACCGTGTGTTTAACCCGGTACACATGCCTTGCCAACTGAACGCCGGCCCACGTACTAATTCGTAATACGTAAATATTTATTGGTTGATCACATCTCTTACGTGGGTGGTAATTACAAATTCTTCAATAACCAAGCGGATAAACAACCAGAAGCACTTGCAACCATATGATTAAAAAACAATACTTTACTAAACACGTCACTAAGATTATACGATTAGAAGCATCCAGAATTTATTGAACCATTTACAACAATCGAATGAATAGTAAGTGTAAACAGTCAGGGAAAAAAGATTCTTCAACGTCAGATGAGGCAGATCTGCAGGATCACTATGTGTACTCAGAATTTTATTCCATACATAACATAATATACAATCATAGGTACTTATAATTCAGTTAATCTTGCTTATGTGTTAAACGAGACTGTAACAAGTTGAATATTGACTCAAATATTCGAGATGCTATATACAATATCACATACCGGAGCTGATGCCATAAATGTTACCAATAAAGGCAATGTTCAATAGAAGTTTGTTTACACCGTGACCGAATATTATCGATAGCGTTCGAATTAACGTAAAGAGATATCGAATATGGCTTGTTGATCGAATTGGTTTTAACAATGCTGATGTATACAGTTGATTGAATCGAATTATTGTTATAGGATATATATCGCTCGAATAACAAAATAATATCGTCGAAAAAATGGTTCCGGCTCTAAACATTCGAATACCGGAAAATCGAATTGTCGAATTGTCGGCAGTATTTGGTATTTAGTATCTTGCCCCTCCATTCAAGCTGTATCGTGATGTCATCTCATGTTCTATTGGCTTACGTAATAATAATAATCGTGGGGTGTAAATCGAACCTGCACAAACGTCAGTTTAGTAGACGTTCTATTGACATTTGAACTCGAATACGTTCTAGTTCCGCTTGCGTCTGCTCCAAACTGGCCTTTATCATCTCTGGGGTGCGGCCAGGGATGGCTGAACAAATCCTACCCCATCTGGGCCCATGCTCACTATACGACCGTCTAACTGCATCATGTTCAAAGGTAGTGAATGGTCTGTTGTTAACTGGTTCATTCGAAATAGTAAAGTAGGTTATTACAAAGTGAAAAAGGGAGTTGTAGCAAATACGTAAATCTGAGAGTTACATACTTCCAGGGCGTAGTGCATTATGCCATCTGTAATATTATAGTAAATATCGTTTAAAATCGTGTCAATACGTAGGATACAACATTACAACGGATATCATGTAAAAACATAGTCAACACGTTCACTTCACCTTTTGGCACACTGATGAGCAGACTTGGTATCTAGGATATGGGAGACCGTTACCCATTGGAGACCCCGCACGCCGTAGAGATCAATCAAGACAGAGTCTTCCTACATGCCGATAATAAGGAAGTAAGGAATAGTAATAGTAGTATTTAGCATCTTCAGGCCATTTTATAACAGACATCTTACCTGAAAACTCCATTTTTCCATGATCGTGAAGTAGGCGTGGCGTGAATAGGCGGGTTTTGAAAACGAGCAACAAGCCATCCTTTATATTAGTAAATGCCAAGGTCCGAATGTAGGATCAAGTAATATTAACCGTTCATGAGCTAGCATGACGCAGTTTTTTTCCCAAGAGAATGTTCTACTTTGGTTTTGTTTTAACTGAAGAAGGTGACAATTCTATGATGCACGGTTAGATGCACGGTTACACTACGTTTACGTGCAGGTCTGCGGCCCCCTATGAAGAAGCGAACGTGCATAGAACCCGACAAATAAGGATTAGCAAAGAGAAATTTAGAATGCTAGAACAAAATTCGAATGCAATATGCAGTAATGAAACTTGGTGATCTGCTAAAAAAGAAGATAAAGGGTGGAGATGGATGTTGCAGTTTTTGGCAGACAGCGGGTGTTTATTTCCGAAAGACAAACGTGAATGCAGCCTTCTATTACAAAAAAGCTTTGCTCGTACTTTTATACCTCATTCGCCCTGCTGTCTTGATTGGGTCCCCTACAACTCTTGGCTTTATTCCAAAACTGAAAATGGATGGCACTTTGGAGCATAGAATAAACCTTGGAAGACGATTGTCCAAATCAGCAGTTTGCAGTAACGCGTCTGATGTTGAAAGACATTGTCCAAGTTATTTACCTCTACACCTAACGTAGGACAGCATGTTTTACCCAACTTTGTCTACTTGACAACGTACGAAAAAAAATTTTTTGATGTGAGGCTCCGATCTTTCCACCTACGATTTTTTATAAATTGTGGTTGATGCAGTTTCCCCGCCTTTATCTCACTCAAAGCGATGGATAGTTTTCCTCAACTTTTATAGAAATGTATTTAGGTTGTTTATACTCCTGGTTCGGTCCAAATAGGACACGCATTTCCTAGACCTTGACATAACCAGAAAAAAAAAATTTTGTATAGTATTTATTAGCGCAAATGATAAACCTTACTTTCCGCAGAGTTTGACGTCCCCGGGTGTACAATGAAAAATTATTCATGTGACGGAAAATTGACTGAGCTTGATTCAATAAGCAGCAGAATATGAATTGGCAATTAAATTACAAAAAGAAAATAATATCTTCATCTTGGTAATTGATTTTCTTACAGGTTTTGGTAACTTTATCTGGAATTGTATTCTTAATTTTCATATTGGCATACTACAGATAATAAAATTTTTAACTCGGTGGCCAATTACGTCGTAAACATGCCTCATTTCCCAGTAAGCTGAAGTTTTTTCGAGAGAACGTCTATTAAATTTTAATAACTTAATTTCAGTATTTTGCATTCATAAATTGAAATACTTACTGTATGGCCGATATAAACTATAAAATAATACTTTTTTTCACAATAGCTTATTTTGTTCTATAATTAACGCATAATTTGCTTACGCGCTATTATGGAACATGCTGCAACAAAATCAGACAAAGTAAACATTTTATGATATTTGGGAAGGTTTTGTTCTAGCGATACAGCTATTACTATTGCTCATGCCCTAAATTCATCGACTAAATTTTAGAATTACATTTTCTAATCCCCCACCAAAAGTCACCGCACCCCTTAACTTTTACTTGTAAACGTATGAAAAAAATTTTTTTTATGTACCAGCTAATTGGTTATACTTTTCGAAAAAGAGTGATGACATATTAAATATTATTGTCCTAAAACTGTCGTTCAATAAAGCCGGCCATAAAATCACAAATCCCAACTGCGGCTTGACAAAAAGTAGATAGAGGCCATGTTTCATCATATATATTCTCACATCAACCCCTTTAGCGGGCTACAGATTTAGAACATTGATAAATTTAGATATGAATATTTTATTTTTTCGAAAAATACACAATCAATTCAATTAGCTTTAAAATGGTATTACATAGAAAATACAAACAAACAAACAAACAAACAAACAAACAAACTCTCATATGGTTTTACTAGCAAATTTAGGACAATTATAAGAATAAATCTTAAATTCTGAAAATAATGTTCGAGACGGAAAATTACATACAATCAAACCTTGTTATACCGACATCTACGATTCGGTATAACGTATCTTTCCTTCAATTACAAACAATTAAGTAAAAGAGTTGATTAATCAGTAACAAATGAATCTATTCGACTTTGTTTCTGCTTTGCAATACTATGCAATTCCACATTTCTCTTCAATGCACGAAAGGCTTTAAATTCTCCATAATTTATTTCTATATCTGTTGAAGAAAGTTGAATGCCTGCGACTACCACCCACGTATTTAGTGATGACGGTAGGAGATTTCGTACTATCTTTATCGAAAGACTATATTAAAAGATAGAAACTCTCATTGTTTATATAACGCTTTTCCTAAAATATAGATGACTGAAATGAATTAGTGTGAGTATCATAAATCTAGTGACTAAATTTAAAATACTATAAACGAATACGAACATGAAGGCTGAAAGCGTACGAGTAACAATATTGATATACAGATAGTTGACGGCTAAAGTCATCCGATTAGAAATATTATTATCGAAAATCGTGTAATCCTCATCTGCTTCCAGCAAGGTAATAAAAGCAAGCATACAAGCCGTCTTGGCAGGAAATTTTAAAACAAAATAATCAATTGGCTCTCCAATGGTCCCAGAAAAAAATTATGGCATCGTAAAAAGGAATATAGAATTATAGGTATCAAATAATTTGGCAGAGTTGCAACAATTTAGAATGAAAGAGTGGAATGCGATTCTAAATAGTCTTTTAATTAATTTATTTAAGAACTCCCCCACCTTTAGATCGATCTTTAACTATATGGCGGATTTTTGGTCGATCTATAACCATGAATAGCGAAACCTGTCTAAACTTAAATCGGTCTCGGGTTCAACCGGTCGCCTCACGACTGTACCAAACTTCTTTAATTAGAAATTTTCTTTATCTAAATGTTTACCTGAACCGGTCTCTGGCTAACCGGTTGAAAAATAACAAACCAGTTCGGCCGGTTTAAATAGGTTTCACCTGTAGATAAACGTCCAAATAGGAATCAAAATCATCCATAAAGGGTCAAGTCCTTTTCCCAATTTTTGTCCCACTTCCATTTTAGATAGGAACAGTTAAATGCGTAGATGATCTGCCGAGAGCTAAAAAAGTCAATTAATATCTTTTATGTCCATGAATAAGTCTCTGCTGCTACTTCGACAAGCACTATTACTTGCAAATTTTTCTAGTTATAGTGAAGAGTCTCAAGTTCCGAATCAAGTGATAATCTGGTGTTCTCTGTAATACATATGTAGTTGAATACGTGTGGCGTTTTTTTTTTCATGCACCAAATGGACACAAGTCCGATGTTGTGTCCATTTTGTTCCCAATTTTATTACCCAAATTAGATATCCAACCCAAATTTGGAAAGAGAAAAAAGGTAAGCGTTACACACGGATCATTGGTTCAATTAGTTCTCTCCTGATTGAACTTGAAAACTTCTTATTCAAACGATGTCATTAGTTCCAGAAGATAAGAATCCAGCAATTGACGACTTGGTCCAATCCTCCTTGGAAAGTGAAGATGAACACTTAAGACTTGAATGGATTCATTACGAGGAAATCACCGACATAAAGCCAACTCAAAGTGACAATGTTTATTACGCTATTTA